TTTTTCCGAGGAGGAAGGCATGAATCGGAACAAATCGATAAATTAAAAATTAACTTTACTGCTCTTTATATGCTTCGTGAATGTAATGTATTTCTCCTTATTTTTAGCAATGAGGTTGACTCGTCTCATAAAGTATTTACTAGTGGTCAGCTCTTTGATGATGAAGTGTGAGTCGTAACCTGTTAGGTTGTGAAAGATTTTTTTAATAAGTCACTACAAGTATGACAAGCTTTAGTCTATCTAAACTCATTTTATTCTGTATGAGTCGAGTTCATTGGCTTTGAATTCTCATATAACTGTTGCAAATATTCTGCATTAGCTTTCAGTTCACTTTGCTGGAGTTTCCAAATTACCTTCACTTCGGTAACTCTTGTAAACTAGTTCGCTATCATCAAAGCTGCGTTTCATGTAATACTCTTTACTATAGGCTTGATGCTTTTAAAATGTATGTACATCATTCTCCACGGGCTTAAGTAAGCATTCAAAGTCCGCATAAATGACATAAGGGATCTTTTTTGCTGAATTGAAATTTTTAAGCTTGGGAATATTGTTTCCTTCACTTGGTAACTTTACCCGACACTTGTTTATGTTATTGCAATTAATTTTATGCATTTTTAACTTATTTTCAGTGTACAAAAAATGTAAACAAATATCACAAACCTAGCATTTTCTTTTTTTTTTTGATATTTGATCTGTTACTAATCTTGACAGATTCTTCATCCATACATAGTGATTTTTTAGTTCTGGAACATTCTGGTTGTCTTCTTCTTAATTATTTTCATCAATGTAAAAATTTTGCAGGAATTGTACGTTTATATGACTGTTATTTTTTCATGGAGGTAATGTGACATGGTGATACTGCATGCTTATCACCATACTCCCGCAACATACATACATCAATGGACACAAGGTTTTGTTTCTCAAATTTTCCAATTTTTTTAGAAGAAACTGGGAATTCTTTTCCATTAAAGTTTAGTTCATTATCATTTGCTTGATAATGACTTACTCGCTGAGCAATGTATCCATAGGATGTAGTGTGGTCAGAACTACCCACACAAAGCACTTATTATCGTTGTTTCGTACATTCGTACATGCTTTTCTTATCATTATATCTTTCGACTAGCAGCCCCTCGTCTCGGCTTCGCCCGAGACTTACTAAATAAAACACCGTAGTGTGTTGACATGTAATGTGAAACGTTTTCAGTTAGAAATTTTACGCATATTCCTGACACACATCAGAACAACAATCTTCCTATTAAAAACATATTTTTTCGGAATCCATATGGTTTATTTAGTCAAATAATAAGGTGTAAAAATTCAAAAAAATAATTATGCTGAAAAGTACCGTGCGTTCTTTATGCCATAAAATAATCGGTGGCCGTAAGAAGCCGTTGATTTACAGTTTCTCCGCTGTAATTCACGAAAAGGGCTATTTTTTAAAGCTGTTAATATTTTAAACCCCCAAAAAATTTATGTTGAAAATAAATTTTTTTTCTCATATCTCCCAACTTTATTACCAGAGCAACAGAGTCCTGGACCTTAAACTCTACATTTTTATTGCCACAAAAACACAAATACATTTTCTACTTAGTTAAAAATCTGAAGTAGGATCTTTAAGGATTTCAGAGATTGCTGTGAGGGTACAATGAAAAGCTGATCTCTCATGTAATAGTTTCTTTATTTGTCGACTTTGACGCTGCTGTTTCAATCTCGATAAATTTTCTGCGTAGGTTCTTGACACCTAAGTAAAATCGTATTTATTAGATACATTTGAAGTTTTTCTTCCAATTCACCCTGTTGCGACTTTTGGCATGCTTAAAATTTTTGTGACCCCCCAAGGCTTTTTTCTGTCAACTTTGTTAAGTTCTAATATATTTGTCGGCAAGGTAGTTAGACGTCCGATGGCCCTAAAAAAGATCGATGAGCTTCTTAAGTTAACTCTTTCTTGACTGCAGTTAACAGAAATTATGACTGCCTGGATACCCAGGGTGATCTTCTCTGGCCTGCTGTTGAAAACCCAGACTGATCGGGAGAAAAATTACAAAGTCCGAAGCTTTGAGGCTAGTTATAGTGCTTTTTCCCAACGTCTCCTGGTATAACGTCGAAGACGTTGGTGTCTAAAGCACCTTTTTTATTCGCAGATTCAGTTGTTTTGGTGATCTTAGATGGGGAGATTGGTTAGTGATACTTGTCCAGTGGAGGCTGTCCCGTTGGCTCAAGTTTTTTTTCCTTCACAGCTGTTATAGGTTTGCCCAGCGCAGACCTTGGAGAGGATCAGTGATTCCTGGTTGAATGCTTAGAGTCGAGAGGGTAATGTAGGGTCGTCGGTCACCGGGTTTTCCAGCCTCGCGAAGACCAACTCCGCAGGTGAAGTCTGCTAGTGAATGGCTGACTTGGTTTAATAGTGCCCGTCTTTAGTTAATATAGTCTTTTAGTCGACGAATCGCTTCTGGAAATTTTAGTAAAAATGTATTTGTTGGCAAGGTAGTTTACACTTAGGTGGCCCCTAAAAAGAACCGATGAAATTGATGGTTAAGTAGGAAACGCAAATACTTATAATGATCCTAAAAAGCGCCAGTAGTGAAACTTCCAGGCTATTCTTCATTATTATTCCTGATACGCCGCTGACCAAAGAATATCTCGTCTTCGGTCTTCGGGTCGTTCTCCGGATAACCAACCGCTCATCGTTCGACGGGAACATGTAGGTATGCACGTTGAGGACGCGACCACTAAGAAGGTAGCCGTTGTGGCTGTCCGTGCCCCTCAGAGCTGTTTTCCCTGGCTTAGGTTTGTAGCCAAAAATTCTCTGACTGCACCAGGCGGGATGGTGGGACTGCCTCACAATTCTGAAGAGTTGGAGCAGGTTGTGCTTTGGCTAGATATATCTTCTGGTATTACGCCAGAGACCGCCATCGGTTAGAATAATTTTTTATTAGTAGCACTCATCGAGATTCAGGGTGAATGTAGACCTAGGTCACTTCCCCCTTAGAGAAGAGTGTCGTCCGTAACCGGGATATCCAGCTGCAAGACTATCATCTACATTCTCCTTGCAGCTTGTTGAACAAACGAAGCACGATTGCATCAGTTACCGAGACGCTCCGGCTTATTATAACCACACTTATTTAATTATGTTGCAGGTAGCCTCGATTTCATGTCGACGCCACCTAGCGGATTTTACTGAACTAAAGTGAAAAGCTGAGGTAATTTTGCCAAATTTTAAGCTCATTTATTGCGATTTTTAATCAATTTTTTAAGATAAAAACTATACTTAAACCATCTAGGAAGTATCATGAATCAGTGTGCAAAATTTCGTCAAAATCGGTTCAGTAGTTTTCGCGGTTAGCGATTACAACGGTTTTAGCGACTTTGCTTTATATATTAGTAAGATAATTCAACATACGAACTTGCCCTTATTGGATTGCATTTGTTAATATTAACTGTCAAACTAATTATCTGCTGTAGTATCCAGCCAGAGTCTCTCTTAAAACTCTTCCATCTGATGCATCATAGGCTGTTTCATGTTTAAATCAAACCAATCTTTATCATCTATGTTATTTGACCTTGAGACTTAAAAATTTTTAATATTAAAATGCTTTGGATCACTGACTTCTACATCATTTTTTTGTATAATGTCCTCCGTGGTAAGTTCAAAATCAATTTTCAAAGCATTATGCTGTTCTAAAGCACTTCTAACTTTGCTAACAATGAGAGCTATGGTAACGTTCAAGGAAAAAGCAATATTAATGTGTCCGCGATTGATTATCACACCAGTAGCTACATGATTTTTAAATGCTGATGGTAAATCCTTCCACTGTACACTGCTCCGATCACTAACATAATCTGCACTGTTTTGTTCACTATCAATTTACTGCTGGTGTGATTCTCCTCCGGTCTTTCTCAGTAAACTGTTCAACTTGTCTTGGACGCAGAACAAAATAGCCCAGATGGATTGTCAGGATTGCATCTCTTCTCTGGATAATGATAATAAGGCATGCTTTTCCAACGTTTCAAGCAATTGATAGGTCAACTTCAACCATCTTTGTAGATCTTTATAATCTGCTTCAGTAATTTGCCTCAAGGCTTTTAGCATTATAGCTGTGGTGTACTCAAAGCATTAAATGGTCATGATGTTCGTGAAACGAAATAATATATTACGAAGATGATAAGAGAGACAAAAAATGATGGAAAATAATTCAAACATACATACCAAATGATAATAGATAAATAGGTCAGGGATTTCGTATGTTATCCTACAAGGAAAATAATCCTTTTTATATAGTGTAATACCGTCACAGTTCACAAGTACATACCTAAATATACCTTTTGCATAAACGATACCTTTTCAATTTAATATTCACCTTCTTGATTATACCCTCTAAATGATACTGTCCAGTCAGCTCGATGAAACTCCCTAGGGACGCTGCCTCCTTGTCTCCAGTTCAGTTAGAATGGTTTGTGCTAGAGCAGCAGCACCGTAACTGCTCGCCTTAACTAATTTTTCAAGCTACCCTTACTTCTTTTATGTCCATCGAATGGGGAATCCCATGATCACCTCGAGCCGGCATCACCACAGCCCCTACTATCTACTGCTGCGCACGGATCTGTATGTCTCATTAATATGCGAGGATACAAATATGATCAGCAGTGCTAAAAAATTTTAGTCTAATCTAAAGACCTTGGTTGCCCCTCTATCAAAAGAATTCTAAAAGATGGTTCTCTGATATGCTCAAATCATCCTCTGTGTTGGGATGGTGCATGCGCTGTTAAAAATACATTTACAATGAAATATTAGATGATTCAAGGTGAGAAGCAGAAGAATGAAGAAGAAGAGAAAGAGTTCGATGAAGTTAATATTTATAATTCCCTTCGAAATTTATACACAAACGTGAATGAAAAAAAATTTATTCAAAGAGAGATAAATTTGGAAAGTAAGTTTTAATGGTTCCTTACAGGTGGGAGCGTACGTTGGGGCTCCCACTTTCTTTTTTTTTTCTTTTTATATAAATTTTTTTATTACTCTTCTTCCTTCGCCTCTGTGAGTAAAAATCTACTTTTTGGTGGTGAGATAATGTATTCACCTGTCAATCGCTATCGCTCCCTTCATGCAGTCTATTTTTGAGTAACACTTTCCTTATGATCGTCTCTAAGACGAATTGGATGAATTCATGACTCCCAACAAGTTTTGTATACATGTTGTTTTGTTGGAGTAATTTCCTTATCTAAAAATAAAAAAAAGCACAAGGTAGTAAAAAAAAAATTTCTTTTATAACTTTCATGTTAATTTATCTTTAAGCACATGAATCATGCTTACTATCTTTTTCACTTATATTTAAAAAATTAAGTTGATAAAACAATGAATCATCATTTAAAATATAAAGTTACATCAATATGATGAAAATGTTGTAAAATTTAGGTCAATTTAAATTTACCTTATACTGTAATATATATTATATACTGTGCGGGGGTTTTTCTTTATGTGGGATGAGGTATACGATAAAATCAGGAGTACAATGTGTATAAAAAAAGAAATACAAAACGATTATAATTCAATTTCAAAGTATATTCAAATCTCTCGTCTTATAAAATAGTTACAAAATTTGGTCTTGATGCAATGACTAATTTATTGATATAATGAAAAAAGAAAATAAGAAAACATAACGTAGTCGTTAGACACTATTCAACCTCACTTAATCGTGGATTTAAAATAAACTAAATAATTTGTTTTTTCCGTTGGCACAACTCACTATTTCCTATCTTAAAATTATACAACGTTTTGAATAAACTTGATTTGTGGAGCATTAGCGCTACTTCTCCTGTAACTTTGATATAATATTTAAATCACGAAAAAACGCCTTTTTTTATACGAGTCTTACACAATATTTAAGATTGACGTGGCTCTAGTATATCAATAAGTCATAATTTTAATGAACTCAACAATATATTTCAAACTTATGTTTTTATTTTGATCTAATCACCATTGAACGCAAAATAATAATTGTCAATAACAAAATTTGGATTCGCCTATACGATCTCTCTCGTTAACGAGTTTTATGCACTGATAGACAATAATTAAATATTGAACTGAAATCCCTTGCACTCTATACTCTATTAGACTCAATAATCTCTCGGATATAATATTCAAAAAAATATAAAGAGTACAATCGTAGGCTCTTCACAGAATCAACGGGATATATCGGCTAGACAACACGGTTGCACGGTACATAAAAAGAACAAAAGAAATGAACTTCAAAAAGAAAGAGATAGGCTAGTCAGTCAACAAAGAAATATGAGTACGCCTACGAAGCCACCGCAAGGGATTTATTGCTTCTGCGACGAGAAATTATCGTAATGATAATTCACGAACTCCTTTTAATTGCCTATTAAATAGCCCCCTTTTACTCACGCAGACCGGGAAGAGAAAACAGGCAAAGACTAGAGGCTTGGGATAAAGAAGACCTTGTTCCCGGAGAGGATCCAAAGAAGAGAGCCAGCGGTTGCTGAGCATCCCTCAACCGTTCAACTTGATTAGGTCCGATTCATGAGGAACTCTTCCTCTGAATGACACTCACGTCTTTTCTCTCTAGCCTCTCTCTGCTTTTCCCTTTCCCTGTGGCGAGCCGCCGAAACCGATGCCTGTATTCGGGCATTTTCGCGTTTCCTCGCCCCCGGTTGGGGCCCTACGCGTCTAGTCCCTGCATTGCCCTCCACAGAGGTTTTTGCGATTAACTGAGTAAAGACCTCTGTCAATTCGCCCTCTTCCCGGATCTCATTATAGTGGATGTTTCTCGCATCGTCAAAGTCGATTTCTGCCGATTGTTGATCTCGCTGCTTATTTTTGGTCGTCTGGGAGATCGTTCGTGGCCGTCGCAACTGTGGTGTTTAGGAGTTGGAGCTGGTATCAGTCTCCGTAGTTAGGGACCCAGAAGATGTATGAGACGTGGACCGACGACCCCTTCCATCGATCTGATCGTGAGACCTTTGACGGCGTCGGCTGAGATCACGGCGTTCTCGCTCAATCAATCCTTGGATGATCCCCTGCAAGGCCCATATGAGCTGAGGTCGTGACCGTGGAGTAGGGAACGACATGACACTCTGTAGGCAAATACATAAGATAGTTAGCATTGTTATAATTTATTTACTCATTAATCATTAAGTCTTAAATTGTAGCACCAACGGAATATATCGGGTTTGACTTAATAAATAGTCTTCCCGGTCTTCCGATTGCGCTGTCTGAACGTAAAAGATTTGAGCCGTTCCTCCAACCCGTTGACTCTTAAACTTCGCAGTCGCTCTTGTTCGTGAGCCCGCTCCCTTCTCCTCGTACAACGTTCCACCTCTTCCCGCAGATAGGATTCGTCCGTTTGAGTAGACGCGTCTGTTTGGTGTGGATCTCGGACGGTCAGGGTCCTTTGCCCTTGGTACAATTTGTGTAATAACCGTGCCCTACGTTTCCGCTGAGCTTTTCGCCGTCGACGATCTTGAACTTCAAACTCTTGAACTCTTTCAAAGGCTCGCTGCAGACTGCGCTAAATGTGCTCAAGCGTTCGAAGAAGGACGAAGAGGGAGACAAATTTAATCAAAACCTTACTAGATTAATCAATGACGTCATCTAGCTCCTTCCAAGATTCATTGAAGTGAAGGCTAATAGCGTCGTCATCAGGTTGATCAACCGCCTCGTTGGCCAGACCATTGACTTTTATAAGTCTTTCTTTTTGATCGTTGAGGGTTTGTATTCCCTGTTGAATTTGAGCCAATCGTGCCTTCATGCGCTTTAGCTTTCTATTCAGCTGTTGTCGTCTGCGTCGATCGCCCCCCATTTGTCTCTAAAAACGGGCGTAATTGTATCCCATGAAACGTACCTCGTAATTTATGTGTTTTGTAGTCCAATAGAGTATAGGTGCCACGATTTATCACTCGCGTTATGACATAAGATCCCTGATAAATGGCCAAAAACTTCGTGGTGACACCGACTGCACCAAAAGAAAAGTTACAAGCTTTTGCCAGTACTTTATCCCCAACCTTATAGGCTCGCAGAATATTAATTATATTGTATCGCTCAGCCCTTGCAAACCCCTTTTTGTGCATATTTTCGGCCACTAAAATCAACTTCTGTTCATAGTCCAATTCGTGCCTAACTTGTCCAGGTACATGACGTTCCCAAAAATGGGTAGGCAATTTATTAAAGTGGATTTCGATAGGCGTAAATTCAGTCGTACTATGATATGTTTCGTTCATAATGTCTTGAATAACTTTGACATGCGTGGACCACGCAGAGTTGCATGCAATGTTGGTATTCTGACCACGATGCAAGAAAGCCGTAAATGGACGTGATTCTTTACTCAATTGCACTTGCTAAAAGGAAGTTGTGAGGTCAATGCTTGTTATATATGCCACATTTTGAAAATGCCGAAATAAATCATCAACATCTAGGGACCCTTCATGATCATTTTGCAGGCGTTTGTTAAGTTCATGCGCATCAAGACACAAGCGAATGGTCCCGTTTGATTTTACCACAGGTCGTAGGGGGTTAATATATGGGCTATGCGAAGGTTCGATGATCCCAAGTTTTAGCATCCACTCTATTTCTTCGTGGACCTTTTCACAAAACTGCATGGGTACAAGATAATTTCGTATGCAAAATGGATCGTTATTTTGCAGAATTAACGGGTACTGGAAACCACGAAAACAGCCGGGTTGACTGCTAAAGATTCCACGATGCGACTGGATAAGCTTTTCAATTTCTTTCGTTGGGACGTATTGATATGATGGACTTCGTCCAGGGAAGCATTAATTTCTTGATCGGAAATTTTCGAGTTCACATAATCAACTGACGTTCTTGTACAAAAATTTGTAATTTGGGTCGAGTCATGATCGAAAAATTGCGACGAAACGAAATTAAAATTCTCTTGAATTCCATCCGACGTTATCTGCACAAGATCTTTTCCGAAATTAATGACCACGTTTAATTTCTTTTGGAGATCTACACCTAAAATACATTCCCGAACTAATTTAGATATGATAAATAAGTTAGTCCGTTTTTTTATCCGCCCAAATTCAATTTCGGCACAAACTTGTCGTTTGATTTTCGCGGACCTTTCTCCGATAAACCCGGTCGCTTCAATACCCATAACCGGAAAGGATTCACATGTTTTAAAAATACCCTGGTGTTGTGTATAAAAGTTTTCTGATAAACAGGTGATTTTACTCCCGGTGTCGACTAACAGTGACGTCTTGAGTTTTTTGATTTTCAAAAACTTCAGGACACGTCGTTGGTACGTCGAATACTTTCTTACAGGGTTGTGAAAAATTCCCCTCGTCAAGCAATTCCTCGGCCGGAGATACAGAAAACGAGTACACTAAATATTGATGATCTTTTAAAATAATAGGTACTGATTTGTCATCTCCGCTTATTGGCGTTGTGTTGGACGGAGATATCAAGGACACAACGCCACTTAGTTTTCCGACTGTTCTGTTTCGGTATTTACATTAATTTCATGCACTTGGCCTCGGTCGCTCTAATTCTCATTTGTGTTCCGGTTATAATTATTTTGGGGGCTTGGATTAGGCTGCTGTCTAGTTTGAAAATTCGTTCGATGAGTAGAGACCTTATGCGAAGTATCTGGATGGTTAGTGTTACCATTATTATTGCTATTATTTCGATAACGATAATTATCGGCACGAGGGAGAGTGCGGTTCTGCCCCAGAAATCCGTTTCGAGCGGGGGTTGATGAATCCCGTGGGTGTAAGTTTGAATGTTGTAATGCTTCGTTTTCTAACGGTGCACTTTATTATATAAACGTAATACATATTCACTGCGAGATAGATTGTGCTCCGCCGCTTAATACCCAAAGGCAAGCTCGCGTTTTATGAGATTTTGCACGTCTTCACTTCAATATTTTTGATAAAAGAGAGTGCGAAATTCATTAAAGTTATTTATTTGACGCGAAATAAAAAGCCACCAATCCGACGCAGGTCCCTTCAAGGATTACCCAATTACGTATTTCAAGTGTTGGAGAAGGATGTCCATACCCTCGATATAATTCTGTAAATCATAGATGTATCGAGTGGGTTGGTCATATGAAGATGCAGCGAACGTTGGGAGCTCGAGCCGTAAGGCATAAGCAGGTTGCCCCCCATTCTCCGGAGCAGGAGGCCGTATGTTTCAATGAATTGGGTTTTCAATTTGTTGCGGGAGTGGCTGTGTTTGTCTTTCTAAATG